TAAGTGGGTTTAGAGCTCTGGGTAGCTCCCCAACTGGGTCTAGAGAGTATTTTAAATTCAGGGAATTTAAAATAGAAAGTAGCTCGTCCACAGAAGGACTGGTAGCTCCCCTTACGATAAGGGTTCAGATCGCGCGAACAGGTGTGAAATGTGTGTGTTTAGTTAGTTTGTTTGTTTGCTTGTTTTAATAAATTTAAAATCATGCTTTTTATTTGCTTTTCAATTCAATTCAATTCAATTTTATTTATATAGCGCCAAATCACAACATAAGTCGCCTCAAGGCGCTTCATAGGGGTTAGGGTTAGGGACATTTGTTTCTAATGTCTCTGTAAAGCACTTTGAATCACCTTGTTGTTGAATTGTGCTATACAAATAAATTTGCCTTGCCTTGCCTTGCCTTTTATGACACTGGGCAAAGTGTAACTGTGGACAATTCGCCTGTGGGTTAGAGTTTGCCTCCATTTCAGGCAGTGTATCCCATCCAGACCAGCAATGGCATGACACTTTGGCCTGTATGTGATCTTGCTTTATTTTATGTATGGAACATGTAAATTTATACAGAGAAGCCAGAAAGAGGAGCTGCTGAAAGAAACCAGGGGACACAAGTGTGACTGATAAGATTTAAACTGCAGGGCTAAGTACGCCAAGGGAGTCAAGCTGGGTGACTCATCCACACCAGCTCCAGAACCTCATAGGATCAGGGATTAGAAGTTCTTCCACAAAGAGCCAAACGAGATTTCCAGTACATGGGTTTGTAGACAAAACCCATGTAGCTCTGCTATCTGTTTTTTCATCAGTTCAGTCTCTAGTTCAGTCTCCTGTGTTGCTGTCTGCTCAGTCTCTAATTCAGTCTCCTGCTCAGTCGCCCTTAGCTCAGTCTCCTGCTCTGTTGTCTGCAGTTCAGTTACCTGCTCAGGTTGCAGTTCAACCATTAGCTCTGCTTTCTCCTCAGTATGCAGTTCAACCTTCTCCCTAGTGTGCAGCTCAACCATTAGCACAGCCTGCAGTTCAATCAGTAGCTCAGCTATTTACTCAACCGTCAGTTCGGCCATCAGTTCAGCTACCCATACAGCCAGGGGTCCCCATACCTTCTGGCCCTGCATCTGCTGGAGGCTCAGGTTAGCCAAACCAGCACTCCGTGGCTCCCACACCGGCATCTGCCTCATCCACTGGGGCTTCTAGAGAGCCCAGCCAGCATTTCCTTGTGTCCGCTTGGGGTTCTGGAGGGTCCGAGGGGCCCATTCAGCCATCTGCCATCTGGATCATTTCAGCCATCTTTGGTCCCCACTGGAGGGTCCAGTGCATCCATCCAGCCTGCTCTCTAGTGTGTGCAATAGTCATCTGGTTTTGACAGCTCGTTCAAATCACAACCTCTGGGTGCATTTGGGTCCTTTCTTCACCTCCACATGGCTTGCCTCGTCAGCCGTGACAGTGTCAAGTCCGCGTCTTTGTAAATGTTGCATGTTTCATGTTTTATTTTGACAGTTCCAAGTTGGGATATGTTGGGCCACGAAGTCTACACCACCACGTCCTTAAAATTCAGGGAAATGAAGGACGCATTTGAGGGCCGCATTTCGAGCAGCCTTTGAATTGGGACAGCCTTCGTCGCGTCGCTGTGACGTAATCGGCCTTAAAATGCGGCCTTTAAGGCTGCAGACCCTGAATTGGGATACAGCCTGGGTCTCAATATTTGCCATTGGTTCCAGCTGTGTTTCGCTCCTGTATCCCATTCCCTCATTATCCTCTGTGCATTTAAGCCCTATGGGCCCCTAGTCACATCTTTGCACATTGCTGTGCGTTTTTCCCAGGCTTCTGGTTTCTACTTTCCTACGTTCTTAACTTCCCAGTTTTTTTAGATTTGTTTTCTTATTCCCGGTTTTGTATTATTTAAATTTTGATAGAGCATTAAAGCTGCCTCCGTGAGTTCACTCCTGCTCCAGCCTGCCACAGCGCTCTATATCACAACTAAGAGTCACCTCTGTTGCGGAGGATAAATTCTTCTGTGTTATCAGCCTCAGGAAGCAAAAGTTAAGGGCATCTCAGATTAAAGCCCAGATAAATGCCACACAGAGTTCCAGTAGCAGACATTTCTCTACATCCACTCTTCAGAGGAGACTGTGCTAATCAGGCCTTTATGGATCCTGCAGTGATATCCTATCCCATCCAGTTTGCGTTTAGTTGGACCATCATTTATTTTTCAACAGGACAATGACCCCAAACACACATCCAGGCTGTGTAAAGGGCAATATGACCAAGAAGGAGAGCAATACCTATCCATCGAAATCTTGAGGGGGGGTGTCAACGTAATTGCACATGAGAACAAAGTGGCAGGAGTGAGCAGCAGTTCAAGTTCATGTGCAGTACAAGATTAAAAGTGGCAGTCAGTATAGTATTGCACAGAGTATGAGTTTTTGTGAATATTGATAAAAGTGAAGTGAACAGTGCAGATTGTAGAGTGTACTTGAGCAACTGTAAGACAGTATCTGTTTGCATCCTGTGAAGTGAGGTGTGTTTTCAGGTGTTGAGGTGTCGAATGGCTCGATGGTAAAAACAGTTTTTAAGTCTTGTAGTCCAAGCAGACAGGCGCCTGTAACATCTGCCAGATGGTAACATGGAAAACAGCTGGCGTGCTGGGTGGCTGTGGTCCTTGATGATGCTGTGTGCTTTACAGAGGCACCGCTGAAGATAAATGCCCTGAATGGCAGGAAGCCTCATGCCAGTGATGTTCTCTGCTGCCTTCACCACGTTCTGTAGTGATTTCTGGCTGCTGGCAGAGCAACTCCCATACCAAACTGCGATGCAGCTCGTCAGCAAGCTCTCAATTGCACACCTGTACTTCCTGAGGAGGCTGAGGAAGTTTGGCATGAATGCCAACATGATCTCAAACTTCTACAGGTGTTACAGTTGCTGGCGAGCTTTTCAGATTACAGTGTCTGTGTGAAGGTTCCAGGAGAGATCCTCAGTGATGTTGACTCCAAGGAATCTGAAGTTGCTTACCCTTTCGACCTTGACAACGTTGATGTGGATGGGCCAGTGTTCCCCGACTGGTGATTTCCGGTAGTCCACTATCATTTCCCTTGTTTTGCTGACATTGAGAGACAGGTTATTATCCAGACATCACTTGTACAGTGCCATCACCTACTCTCAATAGTGCAGTCTCATCATTGTTCATGATGAGGCCTATGATGGTTGTGTCATACACAAACTTGATTATGGTGTTGGACCTATGTTTAGCGACACAGTCGTGTGTGAACAAGGAATATAGCAGGGGCTCAGCACACATCACTGTGATGTTCGTGTATTTAAGATGAGTGGAGAAGAATTGTGACTACCTCATGAAGCCAAGAGTGTGCAAAGCAGTAATTAAAGTAATTCAAGCTATAAAACATATTTTGAGTTATTTCACACTTTTTTTTAAAAAACTATGTGATTCCCTATGTGTTCATTGAGAATAATCTACAATGTAAATAGTAATGAAAGTAAAGAAAAACCATTAAACGAGAATTTGTGTCCAAACCTTTGACTGGCAGTGTATATTTTGTATAAAGCTTTTCTGTTTACACAATAATATAATTAAGATTAAAATATATATCAGTGGAAAAGTTTTAATCCTGACCTGAGAGTTTCCAGTGTACAGTGAGGACTCTGCAGTGAAACAGACAGACACTTCACTCCTGAATCCTGCAGGCTATTGTTATTAAGGTCAAGTTCTTTCAGACTAGAGGACTGAGAGCTGAGAGCTGAGGACAGAGCTTCACAGCTTCTCTCTGAGAGGTTACAATGACTCAGCCTGGGGAAAAAATAAAAGCAAACAATAAAGAAATACTGGTGTTCAAATGCCTTACTAAGATGTAACAACACATGAATGACATCAGATTTTTTGGTTGTTATTTGTCAACTGATGTAAAATAAAATATCATTTGATCTGACCTCAGCATGTTCAGTGTACATTGTGGACTTTCCAGTCCAGAAGACAGAAGTTTCACTTCTGAATCCCAAATGTTGTTGCAGCTCAGGTCCAGCTCTCTCAGACGAGAGGAGCAGAGAACTGAGGACAGAGCTTCAAAACTTTTCACTGAGAGGTTACATTGACTCAGTCTGAAAAATAAGACAAACATTAAAACCAATGCTTGTGTAAAAGTGTGATCAGGAGTCATTAAGTTTGATAACATCCAATACAATTTTTTCAGGAACCCATAATTCCTTAGTAATATATAACAATACATGAATTAAATTCACTTGTTTTGGCTAAAATATTTAATTGGTTAATTTTGTCAACTGATGAAAAATAAAATATCATTTGAACTGACCTCAGTGTGTTCAGTTTACATTGTGGATTCTTCAGTCCAGAAGATAGAAACTCCAGTTCTGAATTCTCCAGGCTGTTGTAGCTCAGGTCCAGCTCTATCATGCTAGAACACTGGGAGCCAAGAACTGACGACAGAGCTTTATAGACTCTCTCTGAGAGGTTACAGTGAGTCAGCCTGAAAACAACGAACAATAAGCAATATTTGTTATAAAAATTATATCAGTTCACATATTATAATCAGTCAAAGAAAAATGCCAGTGAGCAATAAAATTCATGGTTAATCAATAAGCTAAACATCTAAAACTAAAAACACTGTGTGTTCAGGATGGACAGGGAGTCCAGCAAGTGTAGATTCAGTCTAGATTATAGAAAGTTATTCTTATTGTTACAGACTGACATGAATCTGTTTAACTTCCAATTAAGCGCGAAGAAGGAAGCATCAGTAGTAATAAGAAACCTTGATTTACATACTCGTTCAAGCTAAACATTTCTTTTTTTTCCCTCTGTGCTTTAAGAAATGCAAAAATACAAAATACTCACTGTACATGTGGTCTGTATTGCTTGGAACTAAGGTGGAGTAAACAACATCATAGCTTTACATAATTTGCTTTATGGCTGGATTGATTTAAAACTCCAAAAGGTTGTGAGTCTACCAGACTTACAAGTATTGCTTAAGTGGGGGGAAAAAAAAGGCATGAACACTGCCAGGACTCAGAAAAGCTTCAGTCTATTTACACCTACAAGCCAGTGGACACTCAATGATGAGGATGTACACATCAAGGACACGGAGGAACACTGTATCATGGTCCTGAGTCCATGAACTCAGTGATTTTGGTTTTGTATATTATTATTATTATTATTATTATTATCATCATTATTATTATTATGGTTTCGTGAACTGGCATTCTGACTTTTGTTTTTTGCTCCCTCTGTTGGTCGCTGATGTTAGTGTTTCCCCTGTCTCATAAGATCCAGCTGTTACCCCCACCTGTGTGTAATTTCCCTATTTTCCTCAGTGTGTACTTAGGTTGTGTGAACTCGTGTGCTGATTGCTGGTCTGTCTGTAAATCTACCGTGTGTTCTCCCTGACGTCATCCTTCATGTACCTTCGCTCTCCATCCTTCGTGTTCAGGTTTGCTTTTTAGTTGTTTAGTTTCTCCCAGTTCAGGTTACTTTTGGTTCCATTTTGCCATCTTCGCATTGTGTTTTGTTTTGCAATAAACCTCCCTGGCATATCAGCAAGTGCCTGCATTTGGGTCCTCATTTATTCCTCCACACGGCTCACTCTGTTAACCGTGACACACTGGTTTGAGCACGGAGTCAAGGAGGCCATTTGCATGAAAAGGGAAAGACCAAATCTGAATCGAGGAAGGGCCTAACAGTACATCTGTCACCATCTTACAATGCTGTGATTGCAGCAGTTCTCCATCTCTATATAAATGGAACCAATTGCCATAGATCAATGCTCATGACAACTTGCATATTAACAATCATGCAACTGACTTCACAGCCATTAAGTGTGCTAGTTTAAGTCACTATGGAAAGGTACTATTTATAAGGTTGGCGAAACCTGCAGTCAGCCAAGACTGAAGAAGTCACTTGGATGTCAAAACATTTCTCCCGCTGAAAATCCTACGTCCAGATGAACAGAATAAACTTTCTGAGGTTTCTTTACCTGAATGAATGAGCATGCCTCAAGATAGATAAACACTGACTGAGGAAGGATCTACTGTACAGACAAACAAACAAACAAACAAACCCTTCAGCTCTGTGTTATTCACAACTTTTTGTTGGGAAGATGAAAAGATAGGTGAGTGAGAACTGACAATGACAGAAAGTTTTCTTTTGTTGTTTTTTTTTTGTTTGGGTTCTATTTTTTACAGTGAATTTGATAATAGTACATTATTAAGCCATGAAAAATGTTACAGTTGAAGAAGAAAATTCCCCTACTTAGAGATGCAAGTTCTTCCAATAATAGAACACAAAGTCATCATCAATTACTGACTTCTGATCAAAAACATCACTGACTATGCATTATGTCCAAATAAAGGTATGATCACATATTTACTCACAGAGCTTTGTTGGAGGCTTCGACCACTGGCAGCAGCCTCAGAAGAGCCTCCTCTGAAGCAGAGTATTTCTTCAGGTCAAACACATCCAGATCTTTTTCTGATGACAGTAAGATGAAGACCAGAGCTGACCACTGAGCAGGAGACAGTTTATCTCTGGAGAGACGTCCTGATCTCAGGGACTGTTGGATCTCCTCCACTAGAGAACCATCATTCAGTTCATTCAGACAGTGAAAAAGATTGATTATTTTCTCTGCAGGCAGACTCTCACTGAGCTTCTTCTTGATGTACTGGACGGTTCCCTGATTGGTCTGTGAGCTACTTCCTGTCTGTGTCAGCAGACCTCGTAGGAGAGTCTGATTGGTCTGTGAGCTACTTCCTGTCTGTGTCAGCAGACCTCGTAGGAGAGTCTGATTGGTCTGCAGTGAAAGACCCAGGAGGAAGCGGAGGAACAAGTCCAGGTGTCCATTTGGACTCTGTAAGGCCTTGTCCACAGCACTCTTTTGGAGAGTTTGAAGATTTGATTTGTTAAATAATTTAGACCACATAGAGGTTGTTTGTTGCTCTTCCATCAGATTGAGTCCAGAGTTGATGAAGGTCAGATGGACATGAAGAGCAGCCAGAAACTCCTGAACAGTCAGATGTATGAAGCAGAACACCTTGTCCTGGTACAGTCCTCTCTCCTCTTTAAAGATCTGTGTGAACACTCCTGAGTACACTGAGGCTGCTCTGATATCGATGCCACACTCTGTCAGGTCTGATTCATAGAAGATCAGGTTTCCTTTCTGCAGCTGATCAAAAGCCAATTTTCCCAGAGACTCAATCACCTTCCTGTTCTCTGGACTCCAGTGTGGATCTGTCTCATCTCCTCCATCATACTTGACCTTCTTCACTTTGGCCTGAACCACCAGGAAGTGGATGTATATCTCAGTCAGGGTCTTGGGCAGCTCTCCTCCCTCTCTGGTTTTCAGTACATTCTCCAGAACTGTAGCAGTGATCCAGCAGAAGACTGGGATGTGGCACATGATGTGGAGGGTTCGTGATGTCTTGATGTGGGAGATGATCCTGCTGGCCTGCTCCTCATCTCTGAATCTCTTCCTGAAGTACTCCTCCTTCTGTGGGTCAGTGAACCCTCTGACCTCTGTCACCATGTCAACATAGTCATGAGGGATCTGATTGGCTGCTGCAGGACGTGTGGTTATCCAGAGGTGAGCAGAGGGAAGCAGTTTCCCCCTGATGAGGTTTATCAGCAGCACATCCACTGAGGTGGACTTTCTAGGGTCAGTTAGGATTGTAGTCTTGTGGAAGTTCAGAGGAAGTCGACACTCATCCAGACCATCAAAGATGAACACAACCCGGAAGTCTTCAAGGCTGCAGATTCCTGCTTCTTCAATTTCAGTAAAGAAGTGATGAACAAGTCCCACCAAGCTGAACTTTTCCTCATTCAGCACATTCAGCTCTCTGAAAGTGAATGGAAATATGAACTGGATGTCCTGGTTGGCTTTGTCTTCAGCCCAGTCCAGGCTGTATTTCTGTGTTATGACTGTTTTCCCAATGCCAGCCACTCCCTTTGTCAGCACTGTTCTGATTTGGTCATCTCTTTCAGGTGAGGCTTTAAAGAGGTCTTCTTGTCTGATTGTTATTTCTGGTCTGTCTGGTTTCCTGGATGCTGTTTCAATCTGTCTGACCTCATGTTCATCATTGACCTCTGCAGTCCCTCCCTCTGTGATGTAGAGCTCTGTGTAGATCTGATTGAGAAGGTTTTTGCTTAATGTTACAGAGATCCCTTCGACCACACGCTCATACTTCTTCTTCAGATGAGACTTGAATTTAGACTGACATGGCTGCAGAGTCTCTGAATGAAAAAAAAAAGAAAGAACAGAAATTAAAATAAGAAGAAAAAAGTGGCAAAAATCAGGAAACATACCTTTCCTACAGATCTTTATCTGATGAAGTTGTTTATGTTATATTAAAACACAATTAAATGTACTTTTTTTTCTAATATTCTTGTCAGTTTAAAAGAAAAATCCAGTCAAAAGTTCAAAACCTTGACTTAAGTGACACCATGTTAGCAGGCCAAAAATAACACTGCATTGACTAATGAAAAACTTAGAAATGTCATAGTTTAACATTGAATGTTTCTGGTTCACTTGATCCAGCCCCAACTGATGAAATTTGTCAAGTAAGCACTTACAGTGCAAATATTACATTTCTGAAATAAAAAGGAAGTTTTAAAATCAGCCTATAAATACTTAGAAATCACTGAAGTTAATTTAAATGTCTTTGGGTTACTGTGTAGATTCAGAACCACAAGTTTGTGTGTGTTATGTAAGTGAGATGTTCATATGACATGAAACTTTTACAGTATCATAAGACAAAAATAAATTTTGTTTGTATTGTTTTCATATAGGTACCCTAGGGGGTAGGGTACCACACCTGAGGAGCTAACTTAGCCTTAGCTCCTCAGGGTATGTTAAGGATGTTTTTAGGTTCTAATATTATATGACATCATTCAAATAGAAATAAAGTACATAAACGTCCTAAGTATTTACAGGTATTTCGTCAGCTGGATGTAAACATTTTTTTCCAAAATAACTATGGATGACATGGTTAAATTACAAGCTAGTTATTTTACAGTAATAATAAGAATAAGAATAAGAATTTTAAAAATGCATGAATAATTCAATTATTATAACTGTAGAGATATCACACTGGAGAACATGAGTCCATAATGAATTACAATGTTAATAAACTGGCAAGTGTGTTAAGAACTTCATTGATAACAGTTCTATGAATAAAATTTAATACATGTATTTTCAAAAATATTGACATACATGTAACAGTTTGCTAATTAAATAAAATTGTTTAAACATGAAAATGAGTTAAAACAAAAAAAAAAAACCTTTGTTTTACAGATATGTGGTCTCACCTTTCTTTGTAGATGAGGAGTGATGCAGTTGAGAGGAGAGAACTGGATCTATAATCCGAAGATGGTTGATAGTTATCCTGCAGGCTTTGTTTCCTTTTTTTTTCACTGTGTCAATAAGGCAGCGAGCCTTATTTGCTCTGGTTTGGTTTTCTTCTAATATCGATTCTTTCTCCAGATCATCCAAAACACCATCACTTACAAGGGCTTCAAGGAGCTGTGTAAAGATTTCTATTGACACCCTCCTCACAAATTCTGTCCGTAACATGGCAAGCTCCTCTAATAGATGAAGAAATGAACATGAATGTGTCACTTAGTGTCACAGTCAGGCTGCGAAGCTGACTGTATAAATGTGAGGAGTGGACCCAAAATGCAGACACATAGAACAAAACGTGAATGTTAACAAGAAGTGAGCCATTTAATATGGCTGATGGAAAAATACTAAGGCAAACAAAGATGAGACTAAACAAACAACCTAAACTGGGGAAACTAAAAATAAACATGAAAAATCCTAAACATGAAAGTTGGCATTGATACAAAGTTACCTGGAACATTAAACGTGGAACATGGAAACCTAGGAGCATGGCATGGAAAAGAACAGACGACCTGACAAGGAATGACTGACAACACAGGACTAAATCACACAGGAGGATAATGAGGGAAGTGGGAACACATGGGGAAACAGCTGACACACATGCACATAACGACATCACAGGGGAAACGTAAAACTAAACACATTGAACACAGGAACACAGGACCTCTTCAAACTTAAACAGGAAACATAATGAAATGCAAACATGACAACATGAACTTGAGAATTAAAAAGACATGCATACATGAAACATATAAAGGACAAGGAAGACTTAACACAGGGGTTGAAAACACAAGGGGAAACTAATAAACAAATGAACTTAGAAAACCCAATGAACTTAAACATAAACCATAGATATCAAAATAAAGTAAAACTTAAAACGCTGGGTCAACAGACCCAGGAACGTGACACTTAGTAAACTTAACTCTGTTTGAAAGATGTGCAAATAGATTACAATTCAGTTTTTTATGTGAGTGAATTCTGATAAAATTATATTTATGAATATAAAGATTCCACCCCTCCTGTGTGTAACTGATTAGTATGATTTCTGATTCCGATGCCAAGCAGGGCTTCCACATGGGCTTTCTTCCCTGAGCCAAAATGCTGAAGATGGGTTGTGAATTGAGGTTTGCAGCATGACAGTGACCCCCATAAATACCTCTGAGGCAGCAAAGTAGAAATAAATATTAGGCACATTGAGGTCATCAAGTACCCTAGCCAGTCTGCAAACCTCAGTCCTATATGTCTGTGAAGGTTCTCAGACGTCCAGGTTATCGTAGTCTAAACTTGGAAAGACTTCTTTAAGTTTTTTTTAAAGTTTTAAGAAACTTAAAGAAGCCCAGATGCTTTTCCTTCCAAGCTCCTCATACTCAGTCCTGTAGAAAGTCTGTGGATTCAGCTGAAACTTCAAGTTCCTAAGTGGCAGGCAAAGGTAACGAGGAGTGGGCCAAAATCTCTCCTGAGATGTGTGCAAACCTCCAAACAACTATGCTTGCCAAAAAAATAGGTTCTGCACCAAGTACTCCACTAAGTCATGTTTTGCAGGTACCCCAGGATTCTTAGCTGGTGGCACAGCAGACTCCAAGAAGGAAATAAACAGAAGTTCATCCAATTGATCATATGATCAACTAATCAATCACTCACTGGGTTATGTTTCTTTATCTTTCACTTTCTGCCTATTGCATACAACTGTGCAATGGAAACCTCTCAGACAGGCTGACCGAAGCTGACCCATAACATGACTCATCGACCCAGAGACAGTAACCTACAGTCTACTGTAGGAGGCTTAAACCTACCAATTAGAAACAGCTACAGTGCTTTTAAAAATGTGCTAAATTGTATTAGCACTTAGCTGTATCTGACTAGACTCATTTAACCATCAGTTAGATGAACAGTTCACTACAGCCACAGTTTTGATTCAGATGCTTATTATGACATTAGACCTTTTTTTTATTAACTTCCCTGACTTCAACTCCATCCATCCATCCATCTTCTTCCGCTTTATCTGGGGCCGGGTCACAGGGGCAGCAGCCTAAGCAGAGAAGCCCAGACCTCCCTCTCCCCAGCCACCTCCTCTAGCTTATCCAGGGGAACACCAAGGCGTTCCCAGGCCAGCCGAGAGATATAATCTCTCCAGCGTGTCCTGGG